GGGATGTGACTATAAGAACTGCTAGGCTGAGCACCTGCACTATTCTTTTCTTTGTTCCATCCCAGCCCACTTCTCTACAAATTATTGCTGAAGGATTCTTCTTCTACGATTGCTCCTCTTTCTTCCAACTTCTCTTACTTTTTGACGGCCGGTGCATCCCCTTCAAAACTTCAGATCTGTTGTTCTTATCTCTTCTAATTTGTACATAAAGAAACCTGTCATATTACAGAGATTATTTTTTAATTAATTTTTTTTTAAAAAAATCTTTTGTTGTAGAAACGACTTATTGTCCAGACTAAGATGGTGTTGAAGGTGTTGTTCCTATATATTCCTCTCCCCATGTTCTGGGCACTTTTTGATCAGCAGGTAAGTTGAGTGAAGGATTTTAAGAACAATTTACTTATATGTTTATAATCTTAGGGTCATGCTTCCTCCCCTAAGGGTCAAGATATACCCTTAGGTATGCACTTCTTATTTTTAAATACTAACGGTGGTTGTTTTTTGCTACTATTGGTAAAATAGTTTGTACCTGTAAATATATATATTTTAATCTATTAATACAACATGTATAAGAACACAGCTCATTCTTTAGTTATGATCATTTCCTCAAACAAAAATTTGCTGTTAATTTTCAGTAAACCAAGAGGCCTGCAAAATCTTAAAATTATCTCTCTCTTTTTGCCATTGGCTATTTATTTATCATTTTACTTTATTTACCACCCAGAATGTTTTTCAAAGAGTTGATCTGTGCAGTTTTCATGAAGATAAGTGGTTTATTTTCTTCCCATCTTACCTTACAACAATAACCCAAAATATATCAGTAAAATAGGCGTTTTTAATAGTCTTCCCTAGAATTTTACATAGTTTTTGTAAGGGATTTGTTGTGTCACTCATTATTTTGTGACAGGCAGGTTGTCCTTATTATTATCACTGCTCTGTCATAATAATATATGGAGTATAATATTTGACAATACTATCTGGTTCCAGCTACTGGCCAGTTCTGATATTGCTTATTTAAAATATAAAGTTAGAAAAGATTAAACAAAACAATGCTTCCTTGCACTTAAGACTGATATGACAATAGCATAGGACTTAAAAATTCCTACCAAACAATGCTCCCAAATGCCCATAAAATGTCACTTTTTAAAGTAACTAGAAAAGGTTTGTTGTTATATTGCAAAGCAACTTTGTAGCTCACTACTATGTTTCTTTTGAAAGGCAACTTAGTTACAGCTTATTATCCCAGAAATAATGAGGGACTTGTAGCCAGCCAGTTCTACTCTGTTCTATTTAATTAGCCTTATAGTTTAGAAATGTCTAATTTTCTTTTTTGAAAGGGATCACGATGGACATTGCAAGCCACAACTATGGATGGAGATTTTGTAAGTCATTTCTTAAACTACTGCACCTTGATTGACTTATAGCAGTGTATTTAAGAAGCATTTTGTTTAAGTATATTATTTAAGTATATTAAAGTGCTAAACATCCCATTAACACCCCATTTGAGGTGCCCGCATTTGCTGGTACAGCAAATAATAAGGGTGGGGGGTTCCTATGCAATCATGTGAATGGGCACACAACTAGATTGAGACACTGACATTTCAAGTTTTGACTTCTGTGCATTTTAGAAGTGGAATAAGCATCTCTCTCTTTTTCCCCTTCTGCAGGGCCCTGTTCAGATTCAGCCAGACCAGATGCAGGTACAGTAAGCATCTATGTTCACATTTTCCACTATTTCTAATAGATAATTGAATGCTGTTTTAACATTTTTAACTTTGTTATACTCTTCCTCTTCTCTACAGACTGTAAACCCAATTCTCATTGTTATAATGGTCCCAGTTGTAGATGCTGTTATTTATCCTCTCATTCAGAAATGCCGCATAAATTTCACGTGAGTGACTACAGAGTTTTCTAAAATCACTATCATTTTTTTTTTGCTTACAAGCTGCCTTCGCTTCTAGTGTGTAGGTTATTAAAACCAACTTTTTCTGGATATTGTTGTTGAATAATTATATAATGCCTGGGTTTATATTAACATGATGATGATTTGCAAACCAGAGTCTTAAATGGAGAATGAAAAGGATCAAGTTCTTAAATTCTTCAAACAAACAAAAAACAAACCAAAAAAAATCCTCCAGTTTCTGAATGTGGGATATTGTTCTTCTGTACGCATGATTCAAAATGCAGAGAAATGGCCCTATATTGCTGTACAATATTGTGCTCATACTGCCAGAAGAAAAAAGGGTGCCGAACTTTACATAGCAAAAAATGAAACAAAACATCCAGTTGAAAACACCAATGGCAGCAGTCAAGATGGCCTATAGAATACCCTCTTGTGCTCATGACCATTCACAAAGTGACACGAAGCAAGGGGAAATCTCAGGAATTGACTTATTTTTTTCATTAGTTAACCACTTCCCACCCAAACATAAAACAAGTGGACGGGTCTGTGTTTCAACAAGTGTGAACAAGTTGTGCTTCAAATTCTCTGTTGTACTTATGTATAGTGGAAATTTTCACCAAACATTCTCTTAGGGCCAGATAGTAGAGGTATTTCAATATTTATGGAAAGACAGGAAAAGAAGCTTTGCACAATATGAATCAATATGATAGGATACAATACAGTACAATAAAGTGGCCCAATATTATGGTAAACATGACCCGGTAACCTTCTGTGTTTGAGAAATCAGACTTCAAAGGAATTCCATTATTGTGCCCTGAAACCAATCATACAACAAAGCAACTAATTTGCAAATGAGATGAGTTGAGAACTGGCCCTGCTTTCCACAGTGAAGGAATTCCTCTTTTAATCCCAGAATATCTGTAAGATTTGTTTCTGTCCTGAGATGAAGCAAGGGACTTCAGCCCTCAGCCCAGTTAACTTTAGTATGTGGAAGCCATCTTGTCCTTCACTGCAGAGAGCACAAGGAGGCAGGCCTCCTTAAGATACTGAGATGGTTTGCTTTATTATGCATAAATGGACATGGGCCAAAGGTGGTGATTTACATAGACCTCACAGTGACAGTAATCAAAGTTGAAGCGATTAGATGAAGTGTCTTTCTAAGTGTCAGCTTGTTCCTTTTTCTTTCATACACCAGGCCTCTGAGGAAGATGACAGTTGGTATGCTGCTGGCAGCTTTGGCTTTTGTGGTGGCTGCTGTGATTCAAATTCAAATAGATGTAAGTAAAAACAATGCAACTGGAAAGAAATATACAAAGTGAGATTTTAAAACAATTACCCTAAACATCTTTATTCTTTATCTGTTTTTATCAACAAAATTATAAAGAGGCAGAGTGGATTATATTGATGGGGGGACCCTTCAAATGGATCACATAAAGCGGGAAAGAATTGGTCAGAGATGCAGAGAAAAACACACTCCACTAAACACCCAAATGTTTTTAGACTGTAATTCCAAGATGTCTTGACTATTGGCTGTGCTGCCTAGGGCTTCTGGGAGTAGCAATCCACAAACATATGAGGCCCCCTCTTTGGCAACTGCCATTCCAATTTGATCTTGAGCTAGAAGATTTAAGTTGATATAAGGTAATTTCCTTTTGTTCCAAACGGGATAGCAGTAACAGACCATGAAATTCATATAAAAATGCATGGGAAATTATTGGTCCCTCCCCCCCTTCCCCCCATTGCTCAGATGTGCCATCTGGCTGAATTTTACACAGACATCCTTTGCTCTTGGCCTCCAATGTCCTCTTCCTCCAACAGTTGTTCCTATGGAGCTCACTCAGACTCTATGGCAAATAGTTCTGGGTAATGTAACAATCACAAATGAGATGATAATTTCAGAATAGTTTTAGCCAATGAGCCATTGGGAAAAAAACAAACAAATGATGCAAATGGCAAACATAGAAAAGTAAAAGGCACTTTGTGGAAAAAGTAGGAAGGCTTATCATGGCAGTTGTGGATTTCTCTCATCAGAATGTCAAGGCAACTCCATTTTGGTTTGCAGAAACTTCATAATTTCAAGTTAATTTTTAGTCCACATTTGACCTCATGACATTATTTTCTTTTTTCCTCCATCACAGAAAACCCTCCCAGTCTTTCCTGCAGCAGGCCAAACCCAAATCAAAGTAATAAATCTGGGAAATCAGAATGCATCCATTCATTTTAATAGTGATGGGAAGATAGAAAATCTAAGTCCTTTGGCCTCGGTAAGTGTTGAGTAAACCTTAAGATTTATTGGCCAAAATCCTGTTGCATTAAGCTTTATCAGAAGAACGATGACACCATCAGGAGGGGGGCAATTTCAGTAATTAAAGAGTCCCTACATCTGCCTCACAGCTTGTCTGACTCAAGTGTAATCAGTCACATTGTGTGTAAGTTGTGGGAACCTGGGGATGGAAGAAAAAACTCTTTAATTACTGAAATTTCCCCCCACCTCCATGGGAATTTTTTCAATAATTAAAAGAGTTCCTCCTTCTGTTCCAGGGCTCCCATACTCACATGCAATGACACTGATGACATATTAGTTGGGCATGCTGTGGGAATTATTGCAAATCTTCCCTTGCTAGTGACATCATCATCCTTCTGCACGTATAATGTACACAATAGGTTTTGGGCCACTGCAACTTCCAAACCAATGTTTTGTTGTGAAAACTGCAATCATGTGTGCCTTAACACTGAGCATCAGTGAGCATCATATTGTTTCACTACTTGTACTAAGTTGGTTGGTAATTTTTTGCATCTCTGTTACGGGGCCAGTCCCTATTTCCTGTTTGTTTGGGGTTCCTTGCTGTTATTCGTCTTTTTTCATTACCATCTTTCCAGAAGTAAGCATGAAGACTTCCTCAATGTGGGAAACACAGTTTGGGGCCCTTTTCTTCTCATTGTAACTGCATTGCAATTTCTCTCTTCTCTAGACTGATTACTTTTTGCTATAAAAAGACTAGACTGTATCTCTATACTTCCCCCTCCCCCCGCTTTGTGCTTTGTTAACAAAAGAAATAACCAAATCCCCAACCTACCACCTTTTTAAAAAACTAAACCCAATAGTGTTCTTTTAGTAAGTTTTTTCTCCATTAACTGAGAACCAGTTAACTTACTTTCCTAGCACTTTAAACCTATTTCCACATCCTAGTATCATTTGAATATGCTGGCAGGAGCTGTTACAATTTTGAAATACTCCCAGTCTACTATCTCATCCTTTCTATATATTTTCCTGAGCCATAAAAGAAATACTTTTATTTTAATCTGAAAATTATGCCATACAGCAAACTGGGCTTTTAAAATACTACTGTATGTTGTTTTCTTCCTGCTTTCCTATTACTTTGTTTAATGAAACATCCAGGCAGGACATCATTCCTATAAAGTTTGCTGGCTCTCATTGTCTCTGGGATTACCAATATTATAGCTAATACCACCTGTGCCTCCCTCCTGCCTTTAGATAAATAAGGAGCTCTGAACCTCGTAGATACTCAGAAGCTATGTTGCAGAAGGAAGCAAAAATCTTTCTCTCAAATGAAGCCCAAATTAAACAGAAAGCATCAAATTTCTGTTGGAGAGAAGGGCCTGAATCTGGAACTCACTGTTCAGAATATTTTGTGTACTGCTTTAATGTTGCTTCTGATTTGGCTCCAACAATTCTCTCAAAATTTGGAGAATCTTCCTACTTAGAGATAGGGAATCATGTTTCTGTAAATATTCACAAGCACATACTATAACTTAGCTTAATTTCCCCCTCCTATTAAAAATGTTGGGTACAGGCACTGCTGGATCAAACTGTGACCCATATGCCTATATCCCAATCCTAACCTGTCCTGGCTTGTCAAATTGGGAAAGAACAATTTTATTTACAAATGTTGCAGATTCTCCCCCCACCATTATTTTATGTCAGATATGCCTACATACATGAAACAGAAGATGTCATTAACTAGAAGATTTGATGGGGAAACTTATTAATTTTAAATAAGACTGTTTCATTGTAATCTCTCTTTATTTACAGACTATCCACTTGTCTTATGACACAACAAAATTAAATAGTCATGGTATTAATATAACCTATGGAAATGAGACTATAAAACAAGCATTTACTTACACAGATAAAGAACGATACACTGTTGAAATAACAAATAGAGCCGGGATTCAAGCTATACTGGTAAATTTCTTCAATGTCTGTTGAAAAAAACCAACCTTCTGGGTTCTGTTTCAATGCAATATATAAGAAATATATAAGAATAGCACTGGTGACAGAATGTTTGTGTGTGACTAGTTGAAAGTAACCTGAAGACAGAATATTGTAATGTTTTTGCCTGGCTGTAAAATGGAAATTTTAAAACCTGCAAAACATGTTTCATCAGAGATAACGGGAATATTTAAAACATGGGTGCACCTATCAGGCTAAGAATAATGTCACTGTCCCACCTTGAGATTTATGGAAACTATCATCTGTAGATGGTTTAAGAGAAGGTGAAAGCATACATTCAAAAATGACATTCAACGTCCTTCTGATCTTTTGGTGCTTTCAGATATAACTTTTATTATACAATTGGCCTACCTTATTCATGGAAATTTCAAGTTGATCCAGATTATGTCACTTTCAGTTTTTCCTGTTTTCCCTACCCCTCCCTCCACATTTTTACTAAAAAAAATAAGTTAAGAAGAAAATAATTGTAAAGTACCCAGCATCATAAACCACTATAGTGGATTTGTGATGCTAGTCATCTGTCATCTGAAAGTACCTGAGTAGTTAGCTGACATTAACCATAGCTAAAAATAGTGACTATTTTCTCAGATTTTATAGTTAGCTTTAAATCTTGATTAAAAGGATATTTGGTTAGTCATACCTGTTGTTAACATTGATGCTAATGCAACAGTTAATGATAGTTAACTTTGATGTATGCATGTAATCTGCATTCTGAAAGGAAGTACAAAAGCCATATCTAACTTTTCAATTGCAAAGGTAGGGATTCATTGGGAGCATTTTGAGTGCAATCTGATGCAACATGGACAAGTTTTGTTTTAGAAATGCTTAATTTAATCATTGGAATCATTGGCTGTAAAGCATAGTGAGTCACAACTAGAGTAAGTCAACTGAATTAGAGGGGATTTGGTCAGTCAAGTCCTGTTAAGTTCCATAGATTCAGATGGGCCTATTCTAGTTGTGTCATTGTATGCTAAGCAATGGGATTCCAGCCTTTATTTTGCAATACATTAGATTAAAACATTAATAGTATTGTGTTTTTTGCATACAGTGCTTGATGTTTTAGACACCAACTTACCCTTTGCTAATTTAAATTATCTTTTATGTTAGCTTGTGGATGGTCTCACAGAAAAACCAGAGGAAGGAAATAATGAGATCAGGTAATATCATTTATTTTTATAAATCTGAACATTAGTTTTTGTTTAAATAGAAACAAAAGTTGGAGATAACTATTGTATATGTTGTGGCAGCCACAGATCTGCCTTGCCCTTTAAAGTCCAATATTTGATAATAATCAATGCATGTTAAGACATAAAGTTGCAAGTTTCTTTCTACATGTATTGTGACCTCTCTCTCTCACACACACACATACACACACACAATGACATATATCATGTTGAACACCACTAGGCACTGTTGTTGAGAAGGAAAGAAATCCCTTCCCTGTTGAGGAAAACTAACAAAAATGTAAAGTTACTAAATAAAGGTGGAGAGTTGTAACTTAACATGAATATGGTTGTATCATTACTTGATTTCTGTTTCCATAAAATAAGTTGCTAATAAACAGCAGCGCTTTGAAAAATTCATCATGCGTTTTCCTCCTTTTTAAAGATTCATAAACAACTTGAATTCAGCTATTAACATTACTATGGATAAAGTTGGGTTTCCGGATGTGCTGTATTTGTCTGCCACAAACTACACACCTTTCCAAAGAGGACAGTAAGTATTACTATTATTGAACACTGCTTTAGTTAGTGCCAACTTTTATATGAAATGGGGTCTAGTGACAGTAAGGGTTCTGAAATAGATTGGAACACTAAGAAAATGTGCTTATTTGGATTACAGCTCTCAGAATCCTCTAGTCAGCATAGCTACCAGCTCATGTTGGCCTGGAGATTCTGAGAACTGTAATAAAAAAAGGCAATGTTTTCAAACTTTGGGATCATTGCTGTTTGGGGAAAGAGGTAATTATTTAACTCTTTCTGCCTTGAACCATGTTTATAAGCAAAACTGGTCCCTTGAATTGCTGCTCTCTGAAAAAATGGTGCAGGTGTCTGAATTAAAGTGAGAATAATATTGTGAGATCAGATCATAGGTATTTGGTGCCCTAGATTGCCCTAGATCAGTGGTTCCCAATGTTGGGCTTCCAGATGTTTGTGGACTACAACTTCCAGAAGCCCTCACCACCACCTCTGCTGGCCAGGATTTCTGGGAGTAGAAGTCCAAGAATGTTTGGAGGCCCAAGGTTGGGGCCACTGCTCTAGATGGTTACCTTTAGAATTAGGGACAGAATACACATCCAGATAAGTGCATCTTTCCTGCTTTTACAATGTTTTCTTCTGGGCAATGTGATCTCCTTTGTTATGAATGACTTGGAAAGAAAAGAAAAGAAAGATACTATGTACTTTCCAGAGTTAATCTTGATGAAATGTGACCTTCTCCATTTTACATGGTTTCACAACTATACCTTTTCACTACTTAAAGCAGCATTCTTCTTAGAGATGGATTTTTCTGAAATTGTCTTTTGGACTTTAGTACCAACAGCATATTCAATGCTACTGTTCCATGGCTCCCCCCTAAAGGATTATCGATGCCGCTTGTCCACCAAAACAAAAAGCAAAAACAAAAACAAAACCCTGTAATGTACTTATTTTTACATATAATGTACATCCTGAATAGGCATGTCTGTTCTGAAAGAAGCACAAATGGAATGGAAAGGGATTCACTTTTAATGTTCCCTCCTGTAATTAATACAGAGATTTTTCCATTTGCAGTCTTAATGACTGCCTTTTTGTGGGCACCATTTTATTTACACACAGTGTTCCAGAAATTAATGACAGTGCTTCACTGTCTACTGTATTGTGAGTAAATAAAATAACAGCTACTATAATCAATGGTGACTGCCAGGGGGAACTGCTGTTCTCCCACCCCCCATCATGCCCTAAAATGATGCCATGATCAGCCTATGTGGGTAGAGGGAACAGTGCTTATCAGAAGACACATATCTTTGCTTTATGTAAAACTGCCTCAGAAGTGGCCCATAATGTAAACAGACAATGTTTGTACTTTTAATTCCAACAGTTCTGTCTCATATAGCTTAATTTATGTGAGTTAAATTATGTAGAATTTCTAGGTTAATTATTTCTTTACATCCTGTTTTCCAGAAAAGACATTACTGTTTCCACCGATCTTCATGACTGTACAAATAAATCTTTGGCATTTGGATATGGAAGCGCCTATACAATTATAGTAAATGGGGTAAGTTGATTTTAAAAAATCTAAAAGGTTCGTAATAGCTTTTATAAAAAGAAGTCAGATTAAATGCAAATAGGATATGCTTATATTTAGAAGAGGTGACACTGTGAACTATAATTCAAAGGCTGTTGGTTTCAGACTTTGAGCTGTACAGTACTTGGATAGGTTGATATACCTACTGTAGATTTAAAATGTTGAATCTCTGGTAGCCATAATGCAAAACAGGGGCCAGCAAATTTTATGTTTGTGGGATCTCTCTCTCCTTCTTTTGAAATTAAAATCTGTGATCTACTAGTTGCAAAGCGAAGGTTGAGATGGATAGATAACACAGTTAGGGCCAAAATATATGTTCTAGAGATGAACAGTAATTGGAACTAAAATCATTTTACTATTCTAGAGATGCAATTCAGCCAAAATTTCATGTTTGAAAAATCAAGCTTACAAACAGACAAATATGTCCTGAAGCAAATTTGCAAACTATGGTAGCTAAGGAAAAAACCCCACAGTCCTTCTTTATTTGCATTAAAGCATTACATAATTTAAAAATATGAATGCATATAAAATATAGATAAAATTTAAAACAAATTAAAATGTTTAGATAATTAGACTATTTTTTTTAACCAGAAGCAGACTACCGGTACAGTGGGGTCTCTACTTAAGAACGTCTCTACTTAAGAACAATCCAACTTAAGAACAGCTCCATTTGCTAAATTTTGCTTCTACTTGAGAACAGAAATCCAAGATAAGAACAGGAAAAAAAACCTTCTCTCCTTCTTTTGAAAGTAAAATCTGTGATCTACTAGTTGCAAAGCGAAGGTTGAGATGGATAGATAACACAGTTAGGGCCAAAATATATGTTCTAGAGATGAACAGTAATTGGAACTAAAATCATTTTACTATTCTAGAGATGCAATTCAGCCAAAATTTCATGTTTGAAAAATCAAGCTTACAAACAGACAAATATGTCCTGAAGCAAATTTGCAAACTATGGTAGCTAAGGAAAAAACCCCACAGTCCTTCTTTATTTGCATTAAAGCATTACATAATTTAAAAATATGAATGCATATAAAATATAGATAAAATTTAAAACAAATTAAAATGTTTAGATAATTAGACTGTTTTTTAAAACCAGAAGCAGACTACTGGTACTTTAATAGTGTTGTCTTGGCCATTTGCTAGATCCTCTTTTGTATACTCAGGAGATTATAAATTGCATGCACATAAGTGCTGCAGTGACTGAATTTCTCTACAGTCACAGCAAACTTGTCCTGTATCCAAGTAGTCCCATTTTAAATCTTGCTAAATGGATAAATGGTGGAGAGTGTCTCCCTCAAGGACAAGATTCCGGCGGGACCATCTGGAAACCACTTAATAGACTTCAAAACAAATTAGAAAGATTAAAAAAAAATAATCAAGGACAGTAAAATGGGGCTACTTGAGATGCAGGACAAATTTTCTAGGACTATGGAGAAATTCAGTCAATGCAGAATTTATGTATATGCAAGGTATGCCCCCTCCCAGTGTACAAAGAACTAGTAAATGCATCAGTCCTTCTTTATTTGCATTAAAGCATTACATAATTTAAAAATATGAATGCATATAAAATATAGATAAAATTTAAAACAAATTAAAATGTTTAGATAATTAGACTGTTTTTTAAAACCAGAAGCAGACTACTGGTACTTTAATAGTGTTGTCTTGGCCATTTGCTAGATCCTCTTTTGTATACTCAGGAGATTATAAATTGCATGCACATAAGTGCTGCAGTGACTGAATTTCTCTACAGTCACAGCAAACTTGTCCTGTATCCAAGTAGCCCCATTTTAAATCTTGCTAAATGGATAAATGGTGGAGAGTGTCTCCCTCAAGGACAAGATTCTGGCGGGACCATCTGGAAACCACTAAATAGACTTCAAAACAAAGTAGAAAGATAAAAAAAAATCAAGGACAGTAAAATGGGGCTACTTGAGGTGCAGGACAAATTTTCTAGGACTATGGAGAAATTCAGTCAATGCAGAATTTATGTATATGCAAGGTATGCCCCCTCCCAGTGTACAAAGAACTAGTAAATGCATGAGATAATGTCATTGAGGTAGCCTGCTTTGGGTAAAAAAAATTAATCTATTCATTTTGATATTTTAATTTGGCGGAATTTTGTTTATATTTTAGATATGTCCATAATTTTAAACTGCAACGCTCTTGACACCAATAAAGAAAGTAGAGATCGTGAGCATGTCAGGAATTCCTGGACCCATCCACATCAGAAACCAGTGTTCAATTTGGTCTTAACTTTTTCTTTTTAACTATAAAAGTGTTTCAGCAATATGTGCATTAATGTAATTTGGCTTTATTTTCAGTGTGATGACAGTGGACTACAGGTCGCATATGTTGAAGATATTCAAGCCAATACATTCAGTATGGCTTGGCAAATCCCTCAGTATTTCCTTATTACTTGTGCTGAAGTTGTCTTCTCAGTGACTGGACTATCATTTTCATACTCTCAGGTAACTGGCACCACTCATAATAATTGTCCTGAGATGTCAATAAGCCAGAGAGACCTTTAGACTCTTTGCAGTTAAAGACTGATTGCAGAGGGAGAAATGGACATGGTGCCAGCAACACCAGAAAGATTCTGGCCTTTGACCAAACCACAATTGCATTAACATATGTGTTTTAATTGCACTATGCATTCTTTCATAGCCTGCATAGTGCTCTACAAAATGCTTCCAATGTAGAAACCGATAGAGCTAGGGCATCTGAAACTGAGTCTATTATTGTCATGTTCTGTCAAATTACTGGTGACACTATGAATTAATAACACCACAAAGATCCTATCATTAACAGTCATGCTCTGTTCTTTCACGCAAAAGACTGCAGCTTCCTTTACTGAGTCAAACCTACGACATGTCAGGTCTCCATTTTCTACAGCCTTCTACCTTTCTTAGCACTGTTGTCTTTTTCATTGAGTCTTGTCTTCTCATGCTATGTCTAAATTAGAACAGCTTAAGTTTAGCTTCTAGTGAGAGTCTAGGCCTGATTTGATCTATAACCCACTTATTTGTCTTCCTGAGGGTTCATGGTAGCCATAAATGTCTTCTCCAACACAAATAAATAGGCTTCCTTCCCTTGCCAGCTTTTTTCACTGTCCAGTGTTCATATCTGCATATAGTAATGGGCACTCTTTAGTATGGATGATCATGATCGTTGTTTCCAGCAGTACATCTTTAACACTTAAAATATATTTTCTAGTTTCTTCGTAATTGTCCTTCCAAATGCTTCTTCTGATTTTATGAGTGCAGTGTCCATATAGATTTAGGACCACAAGAGCATAGGAAAAATACAGAAAGGTTAAATTTCTTCATTATCAACATTGAAGTTATATAATTCTAAGTCATAATTTTGTCTTCTTAATTGTAATTCTGCTTTTGCACTTTCTTCTTTAACTTTCCTCAGCTGTCGTTTCAAGTCACTGCTACTTTCTGACAGTAGTATGGTGTAAACTGTACATTGTGTTTCTTCTATCAGGTTGCATTCTTCCTCCATCTGAATCTAATACAGGTTTTTGTGTGTTATGCTCTTCATACTGGTTGAACTGATAGGAAAATATATACATCTTTGTCTGACATCTTTGCCAATGAAAGTCATTCTGTCCCTCTACAATTTGTCCCAACAGCATCCTCTTCTCCATGGTATGGGCTATGCACCCAGACAATAAAAGTTTGTGGCAAGCCCATTTCTTTTAAAACAATGCAGTTTCTTATGATCTACATGGTCAAAACCTTTACTTTAGTCTATAAAACACTAACCAGAGTGCTGTCCTCTGAAGATGCCAGCCACAGAGACTGGCGAAACGTTAGGAAGAACAACCTTCAGAACACGGCCAAAGAGTCCGAAAAACCCACAACAACCATTAGATCCCGACCGTGAAAGCCTTCGCAAATACAATATGTATTGTAATCATTTGATTGAAAATGTCCTGCTCCAGTCCTCTCTCTCCAAGAATGAAAGGTTCCATGCACTGTATGATTAATTATTCTCAAATACCATGTTCTAATTGTATGTGTCATGCAGCATTGGACTTTACTTCTGCCTCTGCAAAAATCAGCTTTAATCTAGTTGTTTCATTAGCGATTGTGCTATTTGTATTTCTTTTTCTCTTTCCTTTAGTAGTTGACTGAGTGCCTTCCTACTTGTGATTGTCATATTGGAGGACTATTTCTTGTTTTGTTTCCATTTTCTCATCATGGGGTTTTTTGAAGCACAAATACTTACAGTTTTCTGTTGCCTTCATCTGTGCAGTGCTAATGTTAACTATTGTCACAACTATTATCTATGAATGATTCTCTGTCAGTGTTCCCATCAATTGCTGATGCCTAGTAGTTGCCCATCGAGAATTTCTTTGCCCCCTTGCCACTTATCAATTCTCTTCTAGTGATGCAACCATTAATTCCTGAAGAGGATGTTTGCATCTTCTAGTCTGTTGTCTCATCTTTGACTATTCTAATCGTGTCTACTCAACGATACTGCTTTCAGCTTTCCTGACACACCCAGAATCCTCATCATATTAAGGTGTACATCCCAGAAGGAGAGTTTAATCTATAGGAGCCAGAATGCTATTGGTTTACACTGGTAGAAGTGCACGGGCGTAAATCACAGCAGTGAATTGCTAATAAGTAACAAATTCCAGCTTGAATTCCTTGAGGCATCCCAAATCATGTGACTGGATTGTGACAAGGAATACAAGTGGTGACTAGTTAACAAGTGGCAATTTGCCACTGTGATTTGTGCCACTCATTTATACCAGCATAAATAACCAATAGGACTGTCACCATTGATATGTAAATCTTCGTTGCTTTAGTTTTGATCCCAGAATTCTGCTCTAACACATTTCTTAATCTGCTATCAGTTATGAGCTACAGCTAAGAAATCCATAACCATTAGGATGGCCAAACTAGATGCGACCCCAAATGCATCTTTTATAATGACAGGACTGGTAAAAATACATACCAAGCATTTTGTGAATGGCACCTTCCCGGGTGCCATTTTGTTACAGTAAACCTGAAACATTCCCAAATTTTCAAATATGCCCACAAGTACACAAAAATTTGAAGATCCTTTATGTTTTTCAAAACAACATGAAAAACAATTAATGCAATATCTTGTTTCTGTAGGCACCAGCCAATATGAAGTCTGTGCTGCAAGCTGGTTGGTTGTTGACTGTAGCTGTTGGCAATATCATTGTTCTAATTATAGCTGGAGCATCAAGACTCAACAAACAGGTAAAATAAATCAATATTCACATAGAAACTCTATGTATTATAGCACTGCGACAAATTCTATGTAAGGATATATTGGTAAATACAGTCATGCTGGGGAGAACACCATTTAAATGTCACAAAACATAGCTGTGCTATTAAACCAGAGTTGTAGTTTTATTTGCCTGCAGAATATGTAAAGATGGTACACAGAGGTGAGAAAAGTTATCCTATTGGACTACAACTTTCAGATGACCATGTTTGCTGAGGGATTCTGAAAGTTATAGTCCAGAAATATGACTTTCCCAATAATTTGATCAAGCATTGCAACCATGATTTAATAAAGATTTCATAATGCCAAAAGAGGGGCTCCTTGATTAGGTCATCCACACTGGACTCCCAGGAATAATCTATTCTGGGCAGCATGTAAAGAAGTAGTGCTAGATTGTGTTCAGAGCCCTTCTCAGTTCCACCATCCAAGTAGCAACTGGACTACAGTCATGTGAAAAAGAAAGTAAACCCTCTTTGAATTCTATGGCTTTATGTATCAGGACATTATAAAAAATTATCTGGTCCTTAGCAGGTATGAAAATTAGGTAAATACAATCTCAAATGAACAATAACACATGGCATATTACACTGCAAAAATGAAGCCAAAATGGAGAAAGAGAACCAGCCTGGCTGCCTCACCATCCATGTGTTTAGTATAACATTTGCAAAAGAAGGCTTATATATGAATACATCTAGATTAACTGGATGTATCCTGGCCGTGTATGACTTCATATGGTTTATTGTGATTTATACCCCATGGCTGGTCATCTATACCAGATATATAGTACAGACATGGCATATTACACGAGCGTCCCTACTTGCGAACAATTCGAGTTACGAATGGCTCCATTCGCAAAAAGTTGCTTCAACTTGCAAACGGAGCCTCAACTTACGAACCACAAAAAGAGGGGAAAAAACATTTCCTGCCCTTTTTTTGACCTAAGTTTACTTTTGGTTAAAAGAAGAAAAAAATAAAAAAAAATCACCCCCTAGTGTTAGAGTACGGATTAACCGGCTTTGCATTAGTTCCTATGGGAACTAATGCCTCTACCTACGAACAGTGCCTTGACCTACGAACAGAAAAGAGCAGATATGGGTTAAATGGTTTTCAATGCATTCCTATGGAAAAGTTTGCCTCAACTCATGAACTTTTTGATGTACGAACTTAATTCCAATACGGATTAAGTTCGTAAGTCGAGGTACCAGTGTAAATATTTTAAATTTAACAGATATGTATATATTGTAAATGTAGTTAGAGAAAACAGGAAGTAGATAAATGCCATTCCCCATTTTAAAAAGTTAGTTGTATTAGTCTGTTTCAGTATGTTTTGCAAAACCAAAACCAAACTACAGTATTGCAGATCTGTTAACAGATCTATTTCAGTGTGAGCTTTTTCAACACATATAGTTCAATACTGAGGCAACAGACTTATGTGCATTGTGTTCACGGTTGTTGGGGTGAGGACAAAAAGAAATAGTTTCTAGATACATGTCTCTAGATACATGTAACTAAGTACTTTTAGTACTTTGTATGTGAAGAAGTAAATTGTAAATCACATGATAATAAATTTGTTTAGTCTTAAACATGCCATAATACTTTTGGGATTTTGATGTGTGTTTTTACACATTCCCCATTTTCTGGGATGAATTCCTTGACAGCCTACTTTGTCATCTAGAATTTATTTTTAATTTTGAATTGAATTTTTGACATCTTTGTACTAAGACCTATAAGTACGGTATGTAGGTGATGTTCATGTCCCTTAGTAATCCTGCATGGTATTGTGACATGAACTGAAAAACACACACACCATACTTCAGGTACAGGAGTTAAAACACAAAGGCTCAGAACTGTATTGTTTATATCTCTGCAGATATAATTATGAAGGCAACATCTGAAAATTATCTGCTCAGTAAATAGAAACTGGTGGTGTTGATGTGGTTTCACATACTAGAACCTCTGTATTAAATGTCATCCACAACACTACAAAATTGCCCTGAAGTTTCATTAGATAAGATAAAAGATCCATATTTAGGATCACTTTTGAAAGTGTCAGGTTTTTAAAGTATAATAATCAAAACTTGTTGGCCAAAATCCTAATAGGATGTTATGCTGGTGTAGGTTGAATGATGTTAACTTGCAGTGGTTAATTAAAGCTAATTAAGGAGGTCCTGGTTTCATGCCTGGCTGTGATTTTTGCTGGTAAAAGAAGCATGTCTGTCCTCAGGATTATTTCTGATATGTAAGCAACAACTTCCTTTGCATGTCTAATTCTGGAGCCACACAACAAGAGATGTTGCTAGGGAAATAAAGTTGTAAGGGCAGGAAAGAATGAGCGTGTTGGCCCCTGAGCTCCTGACTTACGCCTTCATATAAATGTTTTCCACATGTTTGCTGCTCACAGAGTTTGAATTCCCAGGGATATAACACCACTATGCTAAGGTCTGAAGCCTTAAATTAATATCATGGTTACTGTTTATAAAAATGTAAATATATCCTGGTCTTTGATCTTACACATAAATGTATTTTCATTAACCATGAACGGCAGTATGATGTGCAAAAATTCCTCCTTTAAATGTCCTTATTGTTTTCTTTTCCACAGTGGGAAGAGTATGTTCTTTTTGCAGGTTTGCTTTTAGCAGTGACTGTCATTTTTGCCATCATGGCCTATTTTTATACCTACGTGGATCCAATTGAAATTGAAGCTCAGCTTGACGAAGAAGAAAGAAAAAAATCTGAAAAGGAAAAAGAAGCCTATGAAAATGGAGTTGGACCTGTCTCACAGACTCAGCTGTGAACATATAGTCAAGGGTGTATGAGAATGTAAATTGCCATCCAGACAGCTACATCTCTAGCCTGTGATTGATACAGTCAACACTCGCTTGACAGAGATGGATGTGTACAGCATCCTCCAAATGCTCACATGTCCACCTGGGGCTAAAGATCAAGAACTTTGCTCTCCTGTGGGGAAAAAAAAAGGGGGGGAACCTCTCTCTCTCCTTTTTTGGCTGAGCGGAATTTGCACTTTTAAAAATATGGGGGCATGGAATCTGAATCTAATTGCACTTGTCACAATGGAAGTACATTCAAAGTATTATAATTTTTTAAATATGGAGCTACTTTACTTTTGTGTTGTACAAAAAGGCAAAATACTCCCTGCTCTTGGTGTTTGAGCCTCATGTAACATACAGGCCCTTAGTGGGTGGGTGGGTATGTTAGAACCTTTTTAAAATGTTCACCTGCCAATAATGAATGTATTATATGTGTATATGTATTTTTCCTGAAAACACATTCCTGAGCCAGAGGAACGTTTACAACCCTGCTGCACTACACACCTCCTTCATTTTTTGCCACAAGCTCTGCACAAATTAGGTTTAAGTGGCCATTGTGGTGAAGATGAACAAAGAGGAACTGCATTGTGAAGAAACAACAAAAAAGTTGAAATAAAACTTGGATAACAAACAGTAAGATTCTGAACTTGCTTTCTTAAATGGAAAAGAGACCATTTCTTTATTGTTCAAGGTAAGGACATGGTGTCTTTGTATTCCTGCTTGAGAAATTCTGGTGTGCTGTCCATATATAGCCTATATGTAGAATATAAGGCAACTAAAAAAAAATGTATAGTATAAAGGGGAGTGAGGAGAGGGATCGCGTGACCCAAAAGACATTGTTAGAGGCCCATCTTTCCTCACCAATAGCCATACTTGCCATGGCCGATGGGTCTTGAAGTCTAGGGGTGTGTGTCATATGTTTCCACCAGAGGACCTTTAAAAAGAGAACAAGCGGAAATATAAGCTTTTCCTTAGACACTTTCCAAAAGACAATGGACGTTAAGGCTGAACTAGTGATAGGGGCAGCAGTATGGCTTTAGGATGAAGGGATGACCTCTTGCCCTCTAGTTATTACTGGGCTGAATAGGGATTCAGCTCCCATTATCCCTGGCCATTATTCAATGAGTGCTGAAATATTATATGTGGAGAGCTATAGATTTCCCATTTCTGCACCAATGTGTGAAATGCTGTTCCCATGCCCGAGTGGGTACTGTAGTCTTTGCTTAGAAATAAGCAACATGGTGGGATTCAGGCTTGCCCACAAATAAACTGTATCTAACTCTCTGTTAAGTTTGTCTATACTTTCACATATAAGTAAGCAATACTGCTGCCACTACCATCCCCCTCGTGCAGAGAAAGGATATTCAGCATCTGATGCTGGATTTTGCAGGTAATTTTTATTAGTTCCTACTCATGGATGAAATTCTGGAAAAGCTGTGGCCAATTGTCATTTGTTTCCAAAGGCCAGTCCCCAAAAAGGAACAAATGGTTAACAAGAGAACTAGAGAAACATTATCTCTGTCTATAAACTTGTAAGACTGGTCATACTCACAAAATATATGTCCATTCAGAAAACTGAAGCATGTTCTTGTGATTTTTTTAAAAAACAACTTTCTTCATGGGATCAGTGTGGCACCCTATAGGGGTTTAATTTACACTGCAATCAACTTGTTTTTGTGCTTTCTCACAGAAACATGTTTATTTATACTTTCAGTTTGCTCTATCCTGAAAGTTCAGTGTGGCTTATGACTTAGAAAAAAAAACCCTACAAAATGTCCATGCCGCAACCCATCTTTACAAGCAACCCATGTGATCACCACCAAGAATCTCCTTTTTTCCTCCTCAGCAGCATACATACATGGACATTTTCCATGCCATGTCGTGTGACGAAAAATTAGGGAAGCAAACACACATTGCCCATAGTGTCAACCAGCCTTTTAAGTTTCTGTTTCATTAAGGAATGTGCTTGGTGTGATGAGCAAGGAAAGGGTCTTTCATATCTTATGACAGCAGGGAGGAAAATTTGACCTCCATTTTGAACTCCAAAGAAACATCATGTCCAATGGTGAGGGATTATAGAAGTTACTGAGCAAAACACCTGGAAGACCAAATTTTCTCTATTTTATGGGGATCCAGCCACCTGTACAGATAACATTCCCTGTAATTTATGTATCGTTCCAAACAGTGCAAATACAAGATAAAAATTCACCAGAGGAATCTTGTGGCATCTCATCAAGAGGAAGAAGGTGGATAGCCAGGGTACTTTGTACCTTCTTAAGTCTGGTGCATGGCAGATATGAGGGCAAGAGTTTGGGGCAGAAGTCCTATCCCATTCAGCAGAATAAGCAGGAAGTCTGCTCTATGCAGAGGGCTAGCTTTCCTCATTTTGAAAAGTGAAGGAATGTGTCATTATCTAAAAGTAGGAGTGTAAGCCAATAAAGTCTACAGTCTACACTTACATAATTGTATCACTGGTAGTATGCGATGTGAATTCTATAGAATCTTAGTACCCTTTCTCACAGAACCAGGGAAGACAGGTGTGGCTATAAATGTCTTCCTTGGCCTAATTCTCTGGGGTTATTAAACCTTTACAATGCATTTGATCAACACCAATTATTTTAATTGTATAACAGAGCTGCAGTTATGGGTGTGATACACTAAGTAGATGAAAACAGAAACTTATGGTAATTGATCACCCAAGAAAAGAATGCAATAGTACCATAGTAAAGAGTTCCTATGGTCTTCACACTTCTCTTGCAGTCTATGCAGGTGCATGGAATGCTACAGAGGACAGATTATTTTGATGATTTTCAGACCTCATTATTAATTATTATCTTATTGTGATCAATAAAATAGGAACATTCTCCACATTACATAAGTGATTACTGTACTGTAATTCTATTTTTTTAACATGAATATGCCAACAAATATGGTAAATAAAACAATGGCCCGTAGACGGGAAACATTCAGTATACATTTAAATCTCCAGGAAAGGATATGCAAGCAATGCAGTAACTCCCATGCAACCAAGGAGATGCTCAAAGTATGGCAACAAAGACTTTTTAACTTGTATGAACTAAAAATATTTGTGTTGCTCAAGCTGGACTCTAAAACAGGAAGAGGCACTAGAGATTATATTGCAAGTATACATAGACTGAAATCCTGTTGCTTAGTATAGAAAGTCACACTACAGTAGGTCCACTGAATCAATGTGGATTTGGTGAGTCAACTCCTCCGTAAGTTCTATTGATTCAAATAGGCCTAATTTAATTGCAACTTACTACACTAAAGTAAGTCACAACTAGAGAAAGTCCATTTGAATCAATGGAACTCAAGGAGGAGTTGACTCACCAAATCCCCAGTGATTCAATGGGCCTACTTAGTGCAACTTACTAAGTGCAACATAAATAATTTAAAATATGCATATTATATATTACTGCCAGAAAGCAGTGATGACTCAAAATGACTTCTTGTGAAGGTAAAAGAATGTGCAGAAGTGGAACTGCAATTGAACATTAAGAAGACAACAACTATGACTGTAGAAGAACTACACAACTTTAATGCTGAGAATGAAGAAATTGGAATTGTTTAACATTTCATATACCTTGGCTCAGTCATCATTCCAAATGGTGACTGCAGCCAAGAAATCAGAAGACTGAGACTCAGAAGGGCAGCAATGAAGAAATTAGAAAATATAATCAAGTGTAAGGATATCACGTCCAAGGTCAAACACACTACAGCATTCCCTATTACTATGTATGAGTATGAAAGCTAGAGAGTAAAGACAGCTGACAAGAAATAATAACAAACAAACAAACAAATAAAAAAAGATCAATCCATTTGACATATCGGCTGGAGGAGAGCTTTACTATGACTGCCAGAAAGCCAAACAAGTGGGTCCCAGATCATAGCAAGCCTGAACTCTCTAGAGGCAAAAATTACATAATTGAGGCTGTTATCCTTTGCACTCACCATAAGACAATGTGATTAAGCCAAAAAAACCCACAAACAAACAATAATGCTAAGAAAAGTTGAAGGCAGCAGGATAAGAGGAAGAACACAAGTTTGAAGGAGTGACTCTGTAGGAACCACAAGTTTGAAGGAGCTGCACAGGACTGTTAATGATAGAACAGTCTTTACCAGTAGGTCTGGGTTTGTCACACTGCACAGGACTGTTAATGATACAACAGTCTTTAAGTCATTCATTCATATGGTCACCAGGAATCAGAGTCCACTCGACAACACATAACATCTTCCTTCTAACATGTACTGTATATCTTTTCTTCTTTTTTTGTCCTTGCAGTTGAAAATGGCAGAACATTAAAAAATCTGTACAGCCATGAAACACAAGAGAAAATGGCTTTACTTTTTACTTTTACTTTTATTAGACTTATACCCCACCCCCCCAGACAAAGTCTACTCAGGGCGGCTTATATAGATAAAAGATAACAATAGACATACATAATAAAATCCTACAAATTATTTCTATATACATTACCAAGATGGGGAAAATTAAAGAAACAGAAAAAGAGTTAATTGACTGGAGGGAAGGCCTGCCTAAAGAGCCAGGTTTTTAAATGGCTTTTAAAAACACCCAGCGAGGGAGCCAGAAGGATTTCTGTAGGGATGCTATTCCATAGTCGAGGGGCCACTGCCGAGAAGGCCTGGTTTCTTGTTCTTTCCTTCCGGGCCTCTCTCGGCGTTAGGCCCCTCAGCCGTCCCTGCTGGCTTTCTCGAGTGGGAGAAGATGATCTGCCAAGTATCGAGGTCCCAAACCATTTAGGGCTTTATATGTCATCATTAGCACTTTGAAATCAATGCGGAAACAAATGGGCAACCAGTGCAAAGCAGCCAGGGTGGGGGAGATATGCTGATATTTTCTCACACCACTGAGAAGCCTGGCTGCTGCATTTTGCACCATTTGAAGTTTCCACATCAATCTCAAAAGCAGCCCCAGGTAGAGTACATTACAATGGTCAGAATCCTATTGGTGTTCACATATGAGTTACATAACTTCTCACAGCTGATTGTAGCTAATTGAAAGGGACATACCTTGATTTTGCAATTTGGTATGTGACTAGGCATGTAACCAAAACATACTTGGCACCAATCCATAATTAATCATCAAGTTACACACTCACTCACTCACTCACTCACACAAAGATCAATAGGATTATGTCTGGTAACTTAACTTTCCTGTTCCTTATATATTAAGGCCAGTTTGCAAATAAATACTTTTCTAAACATTTTCATGGCTGTGGCAAGGCTAGGTAACCAGGTTGGGCCAGGTTTATGAAGAAGATGGTTTAGTAGGCAGGTAGCTATTAACTACAGTATCTTCTTATTTGTAAGGTTGCAATAAGGTAATCATTTGTTGAATACTCATTTGCTTGTAGAAAATGCAAGGTAATATCATTTCAACACACCTGTCCTTTAAATTACATATGTTGATGGAAAGAAAGTGCAAAATCAGCAAAACCCAAGCTTGTTCAACAGGTAAGAAAGGCAGAATATAATGAGAGTGGCCACCAAAGGTAAATGGAAATTAGCTGAGCTGAGGTGTAACATTTGTAAATACATTAAGCCCTGTTGAGTGATATATGGCTCCCACTCTTCCTACAGGAAAAAAGTATATGCACAGTTAAATCCATGGTCAGTCTGCCTTGTTTTGGAAAGAGATGCTGGAGGAAGTTTGGGGTGGCTGAAATTCTATCCCCACCACACAGCTACAGGCATGAGCAGGGCTATTTTTAATCACATCCATTTTCCTCATCCTCCTTTCATTACATGCTGTTAGTGAGAACTCCCTTTAACACGGAGAAATCTAGCATCTCCTTCCTTTGCCTAACCTGTCTCCCCCCAAAATAAGTCGTAACCTGAAAATAAGCCCTAGTATGATTTTTTAGGATGCTCGCAATATAAGCCCTACCCCCCAAATAAGGCCCAGTTAAATACTGTATAACCCTGCCCTCCACCATTGTGCAGTAACCAGATGACAGGACTGCCTTTGAATAAATGTGGATTGTTGTACATGAAGAAAATAAAACAACCCTTGAAAATAAGCCCTAATGTGCTTTTGGAGCAAAAATTAATATAAGATCCTGTCTTATTTTCGGGGAAACACAGTAGCTTCCCAAACCTTTCATATTTTGAACAGATGAGGAATCAGACCCAGCAGGATTGAACGGCAAATAGATTTATTGTGGATGAACGTTGCTTTACACATGTAGGTCATTACCAGCTATGGGGGAAGGGATTTGTTTCCTCTTGTTCTAACTCTGGAACACATGCTTCGGGTGTATACCCTGATCCGAACAGTCAGCACAACATCACCAAAGGAATTTTCAGGAAACAAATGGATGCCTAAATAAAAAAATCTACCTGTTCATGTTTCCAAAAGGTTTTCTGACCATACAACGCATAGCCTTAGTATCCTATAAATTAGCCCAGATTTAGTTGTGTCGTGTCGTTGGGTCCTTAGCCCTCTTTTTGTCCCTTCCGACCAAAAAGAGATTGAGAGACAGAGACAGCAGGCTATTTTACCCCTTACATGAGTGTGACTTTGCCCCCCCCCGCCACTTCTCAACCATCATGTTTTTTTCTGCCTGACTCTCCCAGCCTTTTTTCCTTCCTTGGAGGGCCTCCCAAGTCTCCCTTCGAGCAACTGCTGGAAGGCGACAAGAGTTTTCAAGTGGGAATATCTCATTATTGAAACGAATCGAAGAATTCGCTTTAACAAGAAGGCAGAAGGCTTATCAATGCGTTTCAAAGGTCGCACCTCTTTCTCAAGGCATCTTGGGAATCGTAGTCCTGAGGAGTCGGAAGGACGAGTTTGTTTGTTACCATTCCCAAGAGCCCCACGAAACAAAACTACATCCCTCTCCGTTCTTTGAGGGGGAGAAGTTCCCAATCAAAGTGGCACGAATGACACCGCCACGCTATACATTGTTAAGGATAGCTCTCTTAGATCATCCCATATTCCCCTAATGCCGTATCTTTCCAGCTCAGCCCATTTGTTCCTGCAGTGGGTTAAGCTTTTGAAAGCCACATCAGCCACTGTGCGCGGCGGGGAGAAGGAAACATGATTTTGATAGGAGCCCCTGGGGACGGAAAAAAACCAGCAACGCCGCCAAACAGCGAGCAAGTTTCAATACATACTAGATCTAAAACAGCCGCCTCGGCGGCAGCACTTCCTTCCCCAGAATAGTAGGGGGCGGAGGAGGAGGAGGAATAATCTGTTCTATGCAGGTGCCCTTGCTGAGCCCCAAGGTGAATAGACCAAGGGGGGAAAAAAATCTGACTAACTCCGACGCGCAGATGCCTGGAGTGGTTCCCCCCCCCGGAGTTAAAAGAGATCCTATTCATGACATGAGCCAGGAAGGGGCTCGGGAAGGCGGGAAAAAAAGGAAACAAGGGCGCGGAGGGGGGCGGAGCCAAGCCAGGCCCCGCCCCCTCCGTTCATGCCAGGATTGTAGCCATTCTACGGTCAAACTCTTGTGGCTCCGCCCTTTCTCTCCCCCCCCCATGGCCCGAGGTCAATAAGGAGGGAGGGGCGGAAGGTGAAAGCAGTAGTATAATCAGTCAGATATGCAGCTTTTCGTGGGCTGGGCGAATGCGATATAAAAAAAAATACCAAACCACACCTTAGCGCCGCAAGGTCCTGCCTGTCTACAGTATTACATGCCTTCGGGTCTGCTAAGGAGCTGGCGCGCTAGCTTTCGAGTTTCACAGAACTCCTCCGCAGACACGGATGCAAGGCACAGCGTTCCTTGTTATTGGTGTCACAGGCGGGAGGCGGCGCTATTGCTGCGGCCATGGGCAGGGGCGCTCGGGGGGGGGGAAACACCCCGCTGGAGCTGCGTGAAGAGCGTGGCTCCTCCCGCCTCTCCTCCTCCTCCCCATCATCATCTCCTCCTCCAACCCGCCCCATTCACGGAGGAGGCCGGGCCGAGAGGGGGGGTTCCTCCTCCTTCCCGCTCTATCCCGGCGCGCGCACGCACACGCACACAGACACACACAGACACACGCGCGCACACCAGCTCTCCGTTCGCACGTTCCTTCCGTCCTCCCTGTTGGTGGGAGCCCTGCGGTGTGGGTTTTTGGGGCGTGTGCCGATGGGGTGGTGAGAAAGCTGGGGGCCGGGGAGCTGGGAGAAGGGCAAAGGGATGGTGCTGAGGTGATCGCTTCGGGTCCTGGAGCTGCTTGGAAAGAGAGGCCGGAGGGGGAACGACGCGCAGGCGGCGAAGTGGCAGCAGGAGCAGCAGCAAGAGTTGCCGCCGCCGCTTCCGTCATCATGGCTCACTCGCCAGTGCAGCAGCCTGGCCTGCCGGGGATGCAGGTGAGGAACCAGCCCCGCTGCTGGCGCGGGTGCCTCCCTCTCCAATTCCCCGGGCTTCCTCCTCCTCCTCCTCCTCGGCTGCTCCTGAGGGGCCTCCCGGACTTCGAAAGGGGGGGGGAATGCGATAAGGAGGAGGGGGGTTGTTTTCATCCACTTATTTGTCTCTCTCTCTCTCTCTCTCGGCTTGGTTTGTGCCAGGGTTTTCCTCTTGCTCCTTCCCCTGGGGGGTGGTGGGGGTGGTTGTTGTCATTGGGAAGGGCGGAAGCAAGAGGCGAAGAGGGAGATCTGGAGGTGGCCCCGCGTGGGGGGGGGGACCTTGTGGGGTGGCCGGAGGCGGTAAGGGCCCCCGGTTGGGGGAGAGCCTGGGTGTGATGGAGCAGGAACTCTGCAGAGTACAGCAGCAGGCTCTGCTTCTGGGGACGAAGGAAGGGGACCCGGGTGGTTTGTTTTCACCCAACTTGTGCAGTTCCGTGTACAATTCGAATAGGCTACTTTTTATATTGGCCCCCTCATTGAGACTTTTTAGCGGGAACCTGCCTGGAGGGGCTTAAGGGTAGCTGTGGATAGGGCCCGGGTTCTTTTAAAAGGCTCTCCCAAAGCAAAGCAAGCATTCCTTGCTCTGATCCACTGCAGTTGAGGAAGGTAGTTGACCTTCAGGGTGTCCTGCGGTGCCTTTGTGGGCTGCTCCATAACCCCGAAGAACCTGCTATGAGCCTGCAATGAGGTGTTGTTTAGCTCAGGAAAGAGTGCCTGTGTATGCATCCATGTTACCTTCTGCCCTCCCTCCCCCATAGACAGAAATAGGGGTTGAAATTCGCATCTTCAGTTTATCTTGATTGTTTTTTTTTTCTTTTAGCGGAAGTCGGAAATGGTAAATCAGTACTCTGCTGGCCATCCTTGAGGGAAGCTTTGTAGCAAAAAATAAAAGTGTAATTTGGAATAATTTTAGATGTTAGCTAGAATGGTAAGTAGCGAAATCTCCCTCATTTTCTGGCCTGCTTCATGCACTGGCAAGGCTGCTGTTGCTGTAGCTTAGCCAGGGGGAGTGGTGGCGGCCGCGGCGGCAAGGCTGTTATTCGTCAGCTCAGGCAATAGCGACCTCTTAGATAGGAAGAGTATCCTGTCCTTCACTGACTGCAGCATTGAATGAGTTTATCTTGTTTTGGCTAGGGTGGTTGACCAGCAGTTGGGTTCTTCAAGGTCTCCCTAACTCGGATAGAAAATGGAGGGTAAGGCTAGACTGAAGGAAGCCAAAGCAGAACAGAATAAGCAACATTCCGAGCTGTGGCTTCCTTGTTTCTTAGCACTGTCCTTTGGGTGCAAGAATGGAGGAGGGGGTGTAAACTGCATTGTTAAAAAAATGCTCAAGGGTGTTTATGTAAATATATTTCCCTTTATCTGTGTTATTCCTGTGAGATCTTGTAAGGTTTCCTGATGCCAAAGCGGAAGAGAACGAGCAACATTCAGAGCAGCGAGTTGCTGGACAAGGCAGGCCACCCTTCAGAATGGAGAGAGCATGAGGTCATATAGGGAACTGTAGTCTGAATGACAGAGATTTGTGCCTCCTTAAACGACATACTTGCTCAAGCACTATGTGCCTCAGAGTTTCTTAATTCCTGCTGACATTTCCTGTGTGCAGGCAGGAACAGTCAAGCTGATGAACAGCAGAGGTGGAGAAAAGCAGCTTGATTATCTGGGACTTTTGAGATTTCAGTGACAGTGAGAGCAGCTTCTCCTGCTATGTGTAAAGGTCCCAGAATATGAGTGTGTTAGGCCTCTAATCTCTATGGCATGTTTTGTTCCAAAGAGCAGCATGCAGCATTGGCTGGTGGGTTGTGCACTCGTGGGCAGGGCCCATGATGGTGTCCTCCGGCTCCAACACTTTACACACATGCACATGTGTTTTTCTACCTCCCCATTCTTAGTCACACAGACATGGTGATCCTTTCTTCACTAAAAGAAGCTGAAGGATGCCGGTTGATCTAGTTCTTACAAAGCAGGCAAGAGATAGGAAGAGTATGTTATCAGTTTGTATTGGGGGCAGAGGTATCATATTTAGGTATTTCCTGTATGGCTTTTGCCTAGTTTTTCATTTATAGTGAATCACAATCCTTGAGCAACATCTCTCTAAGTTCTCAGCATACTTTACTGTACTGACCATATATATCTGTTAATCTTGGAAGGTTGTAGAGGAAGGAGCAGTTATTCATGACAATCCTTTGGGAACTGCTTAAGTGGAGCCCCCTTGAATGTCTTTCAGTCATCAGTATCTTTTGATCATCTGGATTAAAAACCCCAACTATCTGTAAAAAATTATTTAAAAGTATTATGCCTTCTTGGGTGTCAAACTTTTCTAGGGTCTGAAGTAGAAAAGGTTATTATGTAGGAAATCTGAATGGCAAAAAGAACTTAGAAAAGCTGTGAAAATGACAGTATTTCCATTGAAACATTCCTACTGTATATTGTATACAATAAAATGGTGTTTGGTCTCACTTTTGTTGTTACTTCATCAAGTCTAAGCAAATGTGTTTATGTCACTGTGTGCAATAATATTGCAAATTCATTCAAAATCAGTCCACAAAAAACACAGCATTTAGAATCTTTCTGGCTCATAGCTACTTCTACCTGGCTTTTATAATTTAGGTTACAATAGTCTCTTTACGCCATCGATTTTACAACAAGAACAGTCTTTATTTATGGTCTCCGACCCATTAAAATACATACAGTACATGTAATATTTAAAATAAGTGGAAGCAACTAAAACATTTCAAGACAGTTAAAACAGTATAAAGTGATAAGATAGTATAAAGTGTCATGGATTTTATTATATTTCAAGTATTGAATTCACTTGCCTTTTCGTTTCCTAGCTTGCTTATCTATTGTGTTAACGTATCTTTTTAATCCTCTGAAATGATAAAGTGTCATGGATTTTATTATATTTCAGGTATTGAATTCACTTGCCTTTTTGTTTCCTAGCTTGCTTATCTATTGTGTTTACGTATTTAATCCTCTGAAATATACAGAGATGTCTAGTCCCTATTTTACCCCCAAACTTGTCCATGCTGGACTTTTTTTTAACCCTCTAAAACCTAAGCCCAGCAACCCCAACATCTGGGAAGTTTCCCAGTCTTGTTGCTTGGACACAGTTTTTTTCTCATCACAGGAGCAGCAGTGTTGTGAAACCAAAATACAAAACTTTATGTCTGTTCTTAGTAGAAGCCTTCCCATCCCCAGGAAAGTTTGTGTTCTTGTTGTGACATTTACCTATTGTCAGCTATTTTATAGTTGCAGCTTACTTTTCAACATCTACAGGAATAATGGAAACAGATACAGATTCCCCTATCTTACAGGACCCCATTGCAGTGCTTTTGTTTATGTTTTTATGTGCTTATTGTCAGGTTACTGTTTTGTGATCCATGAAATAAGAAAGATGGTATTTAAAAATAGTAAAATCTTGTATTGTATTCAAATTCAATAAATTGTTTTTTTTATTAATCTATAAATTAAGAATAACAGTATAAAAACTATAAATCACAGAAGCTAATACATCATATGTTATTTGTGTTATATTCCCTGTTGCTCAGAAGCATGAGAATAAGCATCTCAGATTTTCATTTCTCTGCTCCTGTTTTCTTTCTTTATAGACTACTTCAAATTTTAATCTTGATAGTTGCTAATAGATGCTAGTTTCATAGATCTGGGTAGTCTACTGGCCAAGGCCATGACTTTCAGACTATGATTCTGATTTGGACCTCTGCTGTATCATTTTAATTCAGTTACTTAAAACTCTAGATTTGTCCTGTTCATGGCCTGTGTACAGAGGTTTCCAGTTAAAATCAAAGCACCACTTTAAGCAGGTGTATCTGATCACAGTTTGAAAGCACTAATTTAGTAGAATAATAGCAAGTATACAAAATAAAATGAAATAAAATAAAAAAATTGTACTAATTATAGAAATGACTTTCTCTTAGAGTATTGGATTCTCTCCCAGAAGTTTTACGGATCGTTGTGCGAGATTCCTTGGAGACCATTTCTCAGCACAGTAAATGCAGTTAGTTCAATGTCATCTCATCCTGGGCCCTTGTGATCTCTGGATTACATCCAGGCATGGGGGACTGAGCAAATAGCATTTCCACGAAGAGGTATTCAGTATTTCAAAAAAGAAAGGTGGGACAGAGTACTGTATTCTAAGCAGGTGCAGATTGTTTCACTTTTAACGAAGGAAATGCTTCCCAGTGGTGACAATTTGGTCAAGCGTTCTCTTGTGGCTCTCTAACACAGTGGGAATGATGGCACCAAGAATGACAGATTGCTGTTGATCAAAGAGTTCCCCCCCCTTTTTTTTTTTCAGTTTCAGGGGGTGTGGAAGAGTTCTTTTTTCAGTTTCAGGGTTTCATTATGCACAAGTCACATGGACCACAACATTTAAAAAGTTGAACTCTTTTAATTCTTGGCAATCTGCAGCTGCTGGTGATGTCATTCCTACTGTGCTGGCTGAGGTCCCTAAGTGTAAGCTCGCTATTACCTCTCACTTGTAGGCACCCGACTCTAGACAGAGCAGTTTAAAGTGTGATTTTTTTTTTCAGTTGGATGTTTGACATCCAACTGAAAAGGTAGGAGATTCTAGCAGTAGTGTTTATCTTTGGTTGAACTTGTCTGGGAGCTCTATCCACATTGTGTAGCCAAATGCACCTGTGAAAGAATGGTAGGTATTTTTACAGCACCCTGATAGCAAAGCAGAGCTGTCTGCAGTGGCAAAACATGCACATTTGTGTTGGCAGGAAGACATACTTTACTGCATGCCCATGCATGCTGCAGCATGACTGCAGCAGCCACCCTAGCATGTTTGAATGTGTTGTGACAATGGACATATGGTCACTCAAAGCAAGAAGTGCTTTGGGGACACTTTCTGGTTTTGTGCCTTTCCAATTTTGGCAGTGAGCCAGCTCAAATTAGTAAGATCCTGGCTAGCTGGCAACTCTAGATTGATGGCACTGTGACAACGGCTTCTGTGCATTTGCTTCTAATGGCTTTCAGTGATGCCCATGGTTATAAGATGTGGCCATTGAATAAGGAAGATGTGGCTTTCCACATGTTGAGCTGCCACTCTTGTGAGCCTTGATCTTTGGCTATGCTGGCTGTGAGTTGTAGTTCACCAACATCTGGAGACTCCTATGTTGTCTACCCAGCACTAAATGTAATTTATGATAAAGCTTCCATGATTGTAGAATAAAGGTTGGAAATGGATTGGTGGTGTGAATTGATTGAAATCTCATTCCTGAGCAAGGTACTGGAGTGGGTTGTGGCTTCTCAGCTCCAGAGAGTCCTAGAAGAGAGGGATTTATCTGAATCCATTTCAGTCTGTCTTCAGGCATGGTTATGGGACAGAGACTGTTTTGGTCATCTTGGTGAACGACCTATGGTGGGAACTGAACCAGGGGGAAGTAAGTCCCTGTTGGTTCTGCTGGTCATCTAAGCTAAGGCAGTGTTTGGTGTCAGTAATGGCCTGGATAAGGGCAAATAAATGGAAACTTAATCCAGACAAGACAAAACTTATAAAGCCCTAAATGGCTTGGGTCTAAGCTATCTAAAAGGCTGCATCTCCCTGTATGATCCTGCCCAAGCATTAAGATCACCAGGAGAGGCCATTCTTTCAGTCCCACTGCTCATAGGTGTGCTTGGTGGGGACACAGAAGAGGGCTCTGTTTCTGCTCCTGGACTATGGAACTCCCTCCCACAGGAAGCTAGGCTGGCTCCATCATGGCTGTCCTTCTGCAGGCAGCCAAGTACCTTTCTCTTTAGGCAGGCTTTTCCTTGATGTGGTCTGACAAGGGCTTTGAATGGATTGTTGTGCTCTGTTTTAAAAGTTTTAATATTGATCTTAGTTGCCATTTTAATATAATGCTTGTTTAATTATTTTTAAATATTTGTATGTTTACTGTTTTTAGCTTTTACTGTTTTAATTATGTAAGCAAGCAAATAATTTTTTCGCAGAGAAAGGCAGGAAATAAATAAATTCCATCCATCCATCCATCCATCCATCCATCTATCCGTCCATCCATCCATCCATGTCAGCCAGAATAACTGTGGAAGTGGAATTGCAATAGTTGTTTTAGTTGCATCTTCCATAAGTACTTTGTAGCCAGTTGCACAACATGGATTTGTACAGTTCTGTCATCATAATTGTAACAGTCCTTGGACTATTATAGTTTTATAAATTAAGCAATTAGGTTAAGTCCAACAATATTCCCACCTAAAGTGCTGTATCCACTGACCTGAATAGAACTTATTAGTCATGTATAACTAAAGTGCATTGATTTCAGTGATCGATTCTAAGTAGACTGACATTGGTTTTAACCCAGTGGCCAAAATCTTGTTGCTTAGTGTAGTACAGTACATTGCAGTTAGAGTGAGCCCATTTGAATTGGTGGAAAATATGGAGGAGTTGAGACCCTGAATCCCTATTGATTCAGTGGCCCTATTCTAATGTAATTTACTATGCTAAGTGACAGGAGTTTAGCCATTAAACGCAAATTTGTCTAATTTTAAGCCTATTGTTGACACATAGACCTTGGTATATAATTTGGATTGCTTTAGACCAGGAATGGGGAAGCTTCAGCCTTACTTGATTTAGTCTTGCTGAAAGCGTTTAAAAACCTCTATTGTGGCTCTTTTAAATCATTTTTAGATATGTATGAGTGAATGGAGTTAAGGAAATTAGCTTTGGGAATTTATACTGCAGAAGTGGGGTGTCCCAGCCCATGAGTGGCAGACAGCCTGCGCTGTGCTTGGCTGAATTTAATTTGACCCTTGAGCCCAAAAATGTTCACAACCTGATGACAAAAATGTTTCTGACAAAACTCTGAATTACTGGCACTTTGTTTATTAAGTGAAATTTCTGTCACTCCAAAAAAAGTGGTACTACTAGCTTTCAATAATAGTAGTCATTTTGTATGTACTGAACATAGATAATTTTTCTCTGTCTGCTTGCATTAATCATAGTGATCTGAATTTGACATCAACATCATCTGTAGTGAACTGTGAATTACAAGTTAAATTAAAGCTTTAAATCATCATCATCATAATGCTAGTTGTGTTTTCTTCTTCTCTGTATTTCTGCCAGAATCTGAAAGCAGATCCAGAAGAACTGTTTACAAAACTGGAGAAGATTGGCAAAGGGTCATTTGGTGAAGTTTTTAAAGGCATTGACAATCGAACTCAAAAAGTTGTTGCGATAAAAATTATTGATCTTGAAGAAGCTGAAGATGAAATAGAAGACATTCAACAAGAAATCACAGTGCTGAGTCAATGTGACAGTCCATATGTTACCAAATATTATGGATCCTATTTAAAGGTAAAAGGGTTTTTTTGGCAGAATATCTTATTTAAAACAGGTAGATGATGATTAAATAACAGAATCAGTTTCAGTGGAAGAAGAGCTGCTTTGAATGCTGGACAAATAAGTGGTTTATATTATTGTAATAAGACCTGTGGTGTAATTCTACTTAGGATGGATAAAAATAAATGATTTTTAAAAAAGCAAATTGATTTAAATAATAATTTAAATAAAAATTACTTTCAAAAATTATGTTATATAAAATTCTGATTTTTTAAAATGTAAATCATTACTTAAATCAATTTCATTTAAATCAAATCCACATTGGATTTATTTTTCAATCAAAACATTAACGTATGGGTTCAATATTGATCAAACGAAAAAGGACATATGTATATTTTGAAAAACAAAGCCTGCATAGTGTGCATATGTCTTACACACACTCCTTCTGTTATTTTCATACCAATTGAATTATTAGGCTTTCTCCAGCAATGTGCAGAATTAGTTGTCACTTTGGGCAGGTCCTGAGTGTTACTTATAATTTGCATCTTTTTTAAAAAAAATCTTAGCACATTTTTCTTCAGATAGGAAAAGATATGGGGAGTATGAGGTTGAAATGCTGACTGCATGTTTTCTCTCACTAAAACTCAGTATGCACCTCCCAAGACCTCTGGGCTGTTGAGGATCGTAAACAAAGCCTCAGATTGGGGTGTAAGAGGATGGAGGGGAAAATAAGGTGAAGGCAGTTTTCAGGAAAAGAGACTGTACCTGGCTTTCACTTGCTTTTGAGATATTAATTTACTTTTAGAAAATGTTTAGACATCTAAAGAAAAATATGCCTTATTTATATGGACATGGATATGTTATTAGCAAATTTGCACATGCTCTTCATTAATGCTTGTTTCGTGAGTGTTAGACATGCGTCAGCTTTCTTGCCAAGGTCTGCTTATAATTCATGTATAGGCAGTTATCATCTCTGACGCTTACAAACCAGGAACGAACTGTTTGGGATGAAGGGCCCCTTCTGTGTTGCTAATGTCAATTATCCTGAAATGGTGCAATTTAAAAAAAACCTATTCAGACTAGTCTTCTCACAAGTAAGAGGCAATGATGTCCTTCAGAACATGCTGGAAGTGTGAGAAAGTGGATGTATGGTAGAATATTTCCTTTCTGTTGTACTATGTTAAACATACTGGCTCAGTTGGGTAGTAAAATTTCTAGGAGTGACTTGACTTAACGTGTGATTGTCATGTTTTGCACAATAGTTTGCAGGCCAGTTTTAGTCATTTCTACATCTGGAAAGTTCACTGGTTTAGGAATCTAGCTGAACAGCCATAAATTAGGAGTTCAGTTTCCCTCTGTACCTCTTCAATGGGCTAGGCTTGATCCATAGGGTCCCTTCCAGCTCTGCAGTTCTAAGATTATCTTCGGTTTCTTAGGCTCACTTGCCATTAAGAGGTTTTTGCTGGATATTTTTCTTTTATGTTTTGTATTCCACTGGACCACAAAAGAGATCCAGTTGAAAGAGGAAGAATAAGGCTCTTACATAAGAAGTGAATACAGTGGACCCTCGACACTTAACGTGTGATTGTCATGTTTTGCACAGTAGTTTGCAGGCCAATTTTAATCTGGATAGTTCACTGGTTTAGGAATCTAGCTGCACAGCCATAAATTAGTTCAGTTCCCCTCTGTACCTCTTCCATGGGCTAGGCTTGATCCATAGGGTCCCTTCCAGCTTTGCAGTTCTAAGATTATCTTCGGTTTCTTAGGCTCACTTGCCATTAAGAGGTTTTTGCTGGATATTTTTCTTTTATGTTTTGTATTCCACTGGACCACAAAAGAGATCCAGTTGAAAGAGGAAGAATAAGGCTCTTACATAAGAGTAGTTTGCAGGCCAATTTTAATCTGGATAGTTCACTGGTTTAGGAATCTAGCTGCACAGCCATAAATTAGTTCAGTTCCCCTCTGTACCTCTTCCATGGGCTAGGCTTGATCCATAGGGTCCCTTCCAGCTTTGCAGTTCTAAGATTATCTTCGGTTTCTTAGGCTCACTTGCCATTAAGAGGTTTTTGCTGGATATTTTTCTTTTATGTTTTGTATTCAACTGGACCACAAAAGAGATCCAGTTGGAAGAGCAAGAATGAGGCTCTTACGTAAGAAGTGAATATGTTAAATTTGAAGAATAAGGCTCTTACATAAGAAGTGAATACAGTGGACCCTCGACTTACAGATGGCTCGACTTACAGACTTTTCGAGTTACAGACTTCTCTGGCCGCAAAATTTAGGTTCAACTTGCAGCCGGAGAATCGACCTACAGACCAGAAAAAAACCAAAATGGAACAAAAATGGAACAAAAACGGCCGGTTACGGATTAATCGGTTTTCGGTGCATTGTAGGTCAATGGAGACTAGACCTACAGACTTTTCGACCTGCAGCCACCTTTCCAATACGGATTAATTCCGTAAGTGGAGGGTCCACTGTATGTGAAATTGTGTTATCTTGTTGCAGTCTTACAGCCTTTTTCAAAAACTATTCCGTGTTTTGCTGAGCTGAAATGAGGAACATTTACAGATAATGAACTAGGGAGAATTTTAAAACAGTAGAAAATCCATTAAGAGAAAGAAATGAAAATAAAATGCTTTTGCATCTAAAATATTTGGAAAATAAACAATATCTACACAAGATTTGGTGTAGATACTTGGCTGAAATCCAGTAGTAAGTTGTAAGTACAGTAGGCCCATTGAATCAATGGAACTTATGGAGGGGTTGATTCACCAAATTCCTGCTGATTCAATGGGCCTACTTTAGTTGTGACTTGCTGTTGATTTTAGTCATTGGAATTTAAGTAAATATTTAGCTGCTTCTTCCACTGCAATGTCTGAGCGCTTTCTGTAGCTCTTCCTCGTTCAGTGGTACAAGTCCCACTTCTCGTTCTTTTCCACTTAATATTGTGTATTTGTGAGGCTGTAGCATGTGCTGTACCATGTGTTGTAGATCAGAAGTAATGCTGCTGTTTGGTCCTGTTTTCCCCAGTAACTCAGGATCAATTATAAGAGACCTTTGGGTATTGTGGACGGCATATAAGTTAAATAAATTCATGATGGCAAGGACGAGCGCCTCGTATAGCGACGAATCCGCATAGCGATCCCTTTTCCGGGATCGCTAATGCGGAGGCATTGCATCGGCCCCAATGGGCGAAACTCGCACAGCGATCGGTAAGCTGTTCGGCGGTTCCAAAATGGCTGCCGGACACCTGAAATGGCCGCACACAGCGTTTTTGTGCCCTCCCCTCACTTACCGAGGGCACGAAAATGGCTGCTGGACCCAGGAAACTTCGCTAAACGGTGAGTTTTCAGCCGATTTGGAAAG